CCACTACCACTACCACTACCACTACCACTACCACTACCACTACCACTACCACAACCCTACCACTACCACTACCACTACCGCTACGACTACGACTACGACTACGACTACTACTACTACTACTACTACTCCCACGACGACGACGACGACTACTACTAGCACGCCGATGACGACGACGACTACTACTACCACTACCACCACCACCACCACCACCACCACCACCAAACGCAGATGTAGCGTCTGAGTCTGTTGGACAGTTCATTGAGCTGGGCAGCTTGTGACTGCGAGTCCGAGAATCGATGCTCCATCTTCGCCTTGCTCGGAAGTTCTTCGTACTGCTTTGAAAGCCGGGTAGTCGGAGTTTCAAGGCATTGGCCGGAACTGTCTAGAGTCTAGAGCTTGAACTTGATCGGAGGGTTTTTACAGAACGGCACTGTCAGACAATGAAATCGTTTTTGGAGGTGTTTCGCCGTGCTTGGAAGGAGTCGTTTAAGGGAAGAGATTTGGATCAAGCCACGTGGTTCTTGCACAGGGCGGCTCTTGCCGCAAGGAGCTGATTGACTCGAGCAGCACCAAGGGTTGAGCTCACCTTGTCGTCGTCATTCCGTCACGCCGTCGTTGAATGCTCTTGAATGCTGCCTCGGGATCACCCATTCTTCCATGGCCCAAGGTAATCGCGGAGACCCTGCTGACCACTGCCGCTTGAACATACCTGAACCACACAAGTTTGCACCCAACTGCACTCATAGCTAATGCATAGTCGTCGAAACAACGATGGTTCACGGTTCTTGTGTCGTCAGCGTAAGCCCATGCCATAAGAAACGATCTTGATGGAAAGGACACCGGAAATCACAGGAACAACTTGAGCGAATGCAGGCAGCAGTCAACAACATCAAGTCAGGATACAGACTCGCGTTGGTATCGCGCCCGTTGAAATGGCTTCGACGCAGGTGCGGATTATGTCTTTACGGGTATACGAAACGCTAGTCTGGATTGGCCGTGGCAGGGTGCGTCGGCCACCGAAGGCCTGGCCCGGTCAGCGAGAGAAAGCTAAGCCTGGCAAAGAGACGCAAAGCCACGCTGCGAAAGTGAAAGGCCGTCAGTTGCTGCAGAAAGCCGTTGATCTCATCCCGGAGGGCAGGTGGCAGGCCGACCGTCTAAGTCTATGTATCGTGTTGATAGTGCCGTTTTCGGTACAAGTTCTGATCGGCCAGGACTTGGCAACTTTGCTACAACGTCCCGCCGACAGAGTTTCACCTCGTCTGTGAATCTGCTCAGAAGCTCGCACTGGTTGTGGAACCTCGCGAAGTCGACAACGCATCCCGCCAAGATCATGCGCCTCAACTGCAAGCTGCGCGACTGCGCTTGGAAAAACAGGCCTGCTAAAACCGTGGTGGGTGTGTCACATTGTGCCTGTGCCGGCGCTTCCCGCCTGTGAGTTGCTGGGAGGCTCTCGAAGCGCACTCGACACGAGCCCCGGGCTGAGATGACAGCAAGCTAGCCGGAACCTCACAGGGAACAAGGAAATGAGCAACAAACATATAAAGTTGTAAAATTTACAGCAGCGCAGTCACAAACGGCGTCAGACGAAAAACGTCAAGCAAGATCAACGAGAAAGGACGCCATCGACAGCAGTCTGCTGCATTTACTGTTGTTCTCCAAGTGTTCAGCGTTTTGCGTTGTACGGCTTTTGCTTCCGTCTGTCTGCTTTCCACGTTTTGCGTGTTTGCTACATTTGCTTTTGCCTTGTGTTTGTCGTTTTGCTCTTTTCGGCCTGCTGATTTCGTATTTTGGTTGCTTTGCTTCTTTCCGCTGTTTGGTTTCTGCCGCTGTGAGTTCTGTGTTTTGCTTCTTGCTTTCCGCTTGGCTTCCCTCAGCTTTTGTTGCTATATACCGTGCATCGGGGGAACAATTTGCAAAGCTGCACCCAGATGAATGCCTTCCGGCCGGTCATTCGATGACTGTAAGCGGGGTAGTAGACCCCCGCCCCCCCACCCCTCCACGCCCACCCCTTGTTTGCATTCGGTATTCGCCCTCAGGCTTCAAAAATGCTTTCATTTTGCCCTGTGGCTCAAGAAGTTTCACTACACCAACTACGACTGAGCTCTCTTAGCGAGATACACCAGCAATGCCGCGTCCGTCCAGCACGAGCTGTTATGTCTAAGGCCCATAGACCATTAACCGTACCAATCCTCCCTCCCCCAACTCGCCTGCTCGCGTCGAGCGGCGGGTTTAAGAGATGAGATCAAACTGCCATCGCTTATATAATGAAGGGGCTGGTTTAAGATATGTGATGAACCACCTTCGCCTGACGAGGGAGCGGGCTTGACAAATGTGACCAACAGCCATCGCCTAGCGTCTGATGAGGCGGATTTCAGGAACATCATCAACCGCCATCGTTGTAGGAGAAGGCTGTAATAGATGTCACCAACCGCCATCGCCTACTGAGTGGGCGCGTTTGATGGCGTGATCCATCGCTATCGCCCTCCACCTTCAAAATCGCCCCCCTCATACATTGGTGGGATTTAGAGGACAGCCCTGGGCCTTGAGTTTTACCCTGAAGTTCCACAGGTGGGCCAAAGATCCGCACTTCCTAGAAATTACTGTGAGTTTACCCATTATGGTTGGGGATCATGCTTTGGTTGGCGGCTATCAGACTCGCACACGCTTATGAGGCGAGCGATGACTTCGTGAAGCAGGAGTCCGCGTTTCGGTGCACTCCCAGACGTCTGGTGCACACTCTTTTGGTCTGTGGGAGACATCATGTAGCGTTAGGCAAACCTCAAGAGCTTTGGCTCGCAGGAAGAATGCCTAAATCCAATGGGAACTCCGATTGCGACGTCCTCGGAAGTCCGCTTTGGAAGCCCGTGTCCACGTAAATGGCGGTGATGGTGATGACGACGGTGACATTGATACTGATGATGATAATGTTGGTGACGGTGACGGTGGTGAAGCTCGGCTCATGCATGCAAAAAATCGTGTGCATATAGGCATGCTAGAGTGAGAGTGAATTTGACGCAGAGGTGCGCGCAGTGGCTGCGGCAGCCGCATGGGCAGACAGGCCAAACGTGCAGAGTGCAGAGTGCCTTGCATTGGCGATTCAATAAGGGTGTGCTGGTATCTTGCCACGCAGAGCGGACGGACCAGGACACGTTTCACGAGCTGGGTTGTCACAGCATCGAGCTTTGGCATGCTGTGGTTTCGAATTTTCATGAAAGGACCGGCCAGCAGCTGTGTTGTGCCGCAGCTGTTTCATTGCAGTTTTGCTCACGCTTCGCCGCTCAGCGGTTGCAGCCGACATGGCCGTCGAATTGCGGCTGACAACAGCCAAGCCCGCATCGTTCTACTTACGTGCGGCGAGGTGCACCGGGTTTCAAGCGTTGTTGTGTTTGGCTGGTGTGATTTGGTGCCGTGGCGGCGGTACTGAAGTCATGAACAGGGCAGACGTATTGCTTGCAGAGTTTGCAGAAAGTCTCGTTGAGATTAACTGTGTTCCGGTGTAAAGTGTAAATATTGCCATCAGGTCGTTTCTCGAAGGTGTGCCGGCCAAGGACGACAAGCCCGAGAAGCCGCCTGTGGACACAGTAACGCTCATGGCGTTGGGAAATGCGATCAGCATCTTCGGTTGCATAGCTTCAGTATGTACCAGTGCATGCTGTGAAAGGTGAAAGTCGTTACCGGGCCTTCGTTTGGCCAGCAGTCAAAGGGGAATATACAAGAAGAAGGTGTGCTTTTGGCGTTTAAGGGGGGTGTAGGTAACCCCAACTAAGGGGATGGTTTAACTCGCCTAAACCCATGTGTGTGGACAGTCGTTGCTCCAATTCCAAGACAAGTTGATCCAGATCAGCCATGAGGGAATTCCGCTAAAACGCAGTGATGCCACGTATGTGTGTCTCGATCCAGTGCTGGTGGAGAGTCTGCATGGTGCTTGTGGAATCGGATCGATCCAGCATGCAAGAGGGGATTCCGGCAAAACGCAATAATGCCACGTGTGCGCGCGAGTGTGTGTGTGTGTGCGTGTGTGTGTGTGTGTGTGTGCGAGTGTGTGTGTGTGTGTCTCGAACGAGTGCTTGTGGAATTGAGCGTCTACATGGGGAATGGCTGCTTTTGATATGTTGCGATTGTGATGCCACTTGCATCTCGAGTTGGTGCCTCCGAAATCCAGCGTCTACATGGGTAATGGCTGGTTCTGATGTGCCGTGATACGACTTGTGTCTCGAACAGGCCGTAATATGGCTCTTCATCCGGAGGCCTTCATGACATCATGGCACTGACCTGCCTCTGTAGGTGTGGCCTCGTACATCGGTGGCACCTTGGAGAAGGACAGCGAGTCAACGGCGGGGTGCCATTGCAATGGCAACATGTATCCAAACCTGGAACTTGCAGGAAGGGCTTGCGACCATCGCGGCTGTCCGGCGCCCAGAGTTTGCTAAGAATAGACACGTTAGCTTGTCCGCATGCAAGTAGCATACATATACGGCGCGTGCTCGTACTCGTACAGTTTCTCGGATCTCGTATTCATACACATGCTTACATCCGTACGCAGACGGGGAGATAGATACCAAAATACACGCATCTACATACGTGCATACGTGCACACATACATAATCAATTGATCGATCGATATCTGTCTATCGATCTGACTGCTCATCTATCCATCCATCCATCCATCTATCTATCTGAGGATCAAGAAATCAATTTATCTATCTATCTTCTATCCATCTGCCCATCTATCTGCCTATCTACCTGCCCATCCACCTATCTAGTTATCTACCCAATTACTTCCATCTACTATCGAGCGGTCGATCGGTTTACTTATAGATCCATGCATCCATCTATCCATCTGTCTTTCTACCTCTCTACCTGTCTCTCTCTCTCTATCTCTTTCCGTCTTTTTTTCTATCTTAGCTATCTGTCCATCTATCTATCAACCTATCTGCCTGTCTACCCCTGTCTATCTGTCTGTCTATCTATCTATCTCTCTATCAACAGGTCCTCTGTCTGTCGATCGATCTATCTATCATTCTATCCGTCTGTATGTCACGTCTATCTATCGATCTGTGTGCGCCAGTGGTTGCTTTGGCTACAAAGGTGCGGACAAAATGGACGTCAGTTCCTGGACCTGTCAAGCACTCTCCCAACGTCACTGTTGTGCTGAAGAGGAGCCGGAGGGCTCCAGATCATATGATCCATGGCGCGTGTTCGGGATCCCTGAAGTGCTGTATGCAGACACAGAGGTGTTTGCAGCCGGTGTGGGTAGTACGGTCCGCATGCGCAGGAAAGCCGCAGAGAAGGCGCTGGCCGGCGATCTCACCGTGACGACGGCGTGGGGTTGGAACAAAACCTAAGCAGTCACCCGAGTTAACTCGCAATAGACCTAGATAGTCGTCACTTGCTCAAGATGTTTGGAACTAAGTTTACTAAGTCTAGACTCGAAGGTCGCGAAATCTTAGGACAGTGTTGCGGATGGGAAATTGGTCAACCCAAGAATTGACAACAACAAACCAAGGTGTTTTTGTAGGAATTCAATTCTCTCACCAGGTCTTCAGGAGCAAGCCACCTCAACGCGCAGGCTATGCCTCAAGTGCCAAAAACCAAACCACATTATTGTGTTCTGGAGATAAAAACGGAGACTGTTCAGTGATACAAGAATGCACGCAGTAAGCTATCAGAAGCACAGACATACACAGTTGCGGAAAGACATGGATATTTTGATGCAGATAGAGTAAATACAAGGTGAACTGATGCGTACACGGCCCGTAAAGGGAACGAGCAGATAAACAAGTCTAAACACTGTGGAGGGAAGCGAACAATTAGCACATACGGACACAAAGGTGTGTGTCGGCTCGGTGGTGCCCAAATACTGCAGGTAAAGCAAGACTGAAACGATATGTGTGTGTGTGTATGTCTATCTGTGTGTGTGTGTATGTATAGATACATGCATGCATGCATGCATGCATGCATACACACACACACATTTGCATACATATGTATGTCTATACACCTGCATGTGTGTTTGAGTGCGATGCGCCTTTTTGTCCACTGCTGACCGTGGACGGTCGTTTTCAGGTCCGAGGCTCTCTTTGATTGGTTATGCACACTTGTATAGATTTCCATGGTTATACATGTCTACACATCTGAATACCAGTGAATGGTCGTATTGAGTCTCATGTGATTCTGCGACTGATATATGTCATATAGGCATGCGCACATAGGCTTCTGTGATTTGCTTGTATCAAAATCTTCATCCGCATTTCGGAGGAGGCGACAGAGCCCATCGATGGCCAGAAGCCTGGCACCTCCGGCCTGCGAAAGAAGACAAAGGCCGGACAAAATATGCTATAATTTGCTAAAATGTGAGGAATGTACTATACTACACTATTATACAAGACCATAACCTGCGATGGTGCTATATCATGTTGGTTGTCCGGGGCCGGGGGCTGGGCACCCGCTTGATCACCCCGCAAGAGTGAACATCCTGTAGACTTGGCATCCTATGAAAAACGACAAGCAGAGAGAAGCTATGCCAGCTATGCAAGGAGTCTTGTGAACAGCATGTGCGCAGTGTGCTATGTGTGAGAACTCTCTCCATCAGTGGGCAGGTGTTTATGGGCAAGAACTATCTCGAGAACTTCGTCCAGAGCACCTTCAATGCTCTGAAGTCCACAGGTGTGCCAATTGAGGGTGGCACAATCGTTGTCAGCGGAGATGGTCGATACTACAACAAGGCCAGGTGCAGGGCCCGCTCTTCAACATGCCATCCGATTCGGGTGGAGTGGATTTCCTTGCTTTCTGAGCTTGCAGGCCGAAGCTGTTGTGCGAGTATCTTCGTGTGCTAAGCCGCTAAGCTCCACACACGCTGCAATAGCCCTGTTTAGCAAACTCTGCTCCATGCTTCTGCGTTTAAACGCGTTTGCTGCCAGCATTCAAGACTGCGCTGGAGCAGGAAGCTATTCAGATCATCACGAAGATGGCCGTTGCGAACGGGGTCAAGGCAGTTTGGATCGGCAGCACGGCCGCAGCGGACAGGGGTCGACTGAGTGTCAAGCTTTGCTCCGGCGTCCGTTCCAAGCGTCCGGCGTTTGATGCACGCAGTGTCCATGCGCCGAGGTAAGGATGGCCTCATGAGCACTCCGGCGGCGAGCGCTGTCATCCGCTGCCGCGAGGGTGGCTTCGTTCCCTTCGGCGGTGCCCCGAACGAGAAGTGATTGTATGCATTGCAGCTTGTCACCGGTGCATGCAGCAGATCGATGCCTTCGCGAATGTATTGTCCGAGAATTGTCCCAGCCTTCCATGGTGTCGGCTCGCGGCCTGTCCAGACTTTTGGTGTCAGGCTTCATTTTGTCCGCCTCCCACAACCCTGGTGGTATCGACGAGGCACGCAACTTTCGGTGCCTGTCTGATGCCGTGAATTCCGAATGATGCCCGTGAGCTAGCCGCTTGAATCGTGACGAGGACTTCGGCATCAAGTTCAACTGCGAGAACGGCGGGTCTGCACCGGAGAAGGTCACAGACATGATCCACACCATTACCAAAGATATCAAGGACTGGGTGGAGAGGATAGACGGAAAGGCACAAGGACAGAGGGCACTCCGGATGTGGGTACTGTAGCCTTTCTTGGCATTTTCTTCGGAAGTTTGATGTTTTGACATAGGTGATCCCAGGTGTCTTTTGCGTGCGTTCGATCTGGGCTCTTTCATGAGGTCTTCCAGTGGGGGAAAAGGCTTGTGGGGAACGGGGAGAGGGCCCGGTGAAAGAAAGAGAGAGAAGCGGGGCAGAGGCAGACAATGCAAGGGCTTCGGGTACATTCGTTCGTTAGTGTTGAGAGACGGATGTGATATGATGATTGTCGAAGATGTGATCGATACCGTGCGGCCAGTAGCTCATGGGATGTCCCGGCTGCATCCAGGAATACAAGATATGCAAGGGGTTTCCCACCATCGACATCTCCACCTGTGGGACCTACGTGGTGGATGGCAAGGTGTGGATGGGTGATGGGTTTGTCGCCGCAGTGCAGGATGTGTCGATTTGCCTCGCTGGTTGGTCTTGAGGTTCGCGTGGATGTCTTTGACGGTACCGAAGATCATGTCGGCCTGCTGCAGAAGGTCGGCCTTTCACACTGGCATGTTCGGGAAGAGCGCCTATGCGGACCGTGCAAGACATGGCAAGTCTTTGTTTCGAGGTGTTTGACTTTGAAGCGATCAAGAAGCTCATCGCCCGAAAGGATTTCAGCCGTGTGCTCAGATCGCTGACCTTTCGGTTGCGCAGCTGTCTCCTTGCACATCAGCGCAATATGCGAGGGCCATCATGCCAGGCATGGTGTATGACTCCATGAACGGTGTTCAGGGCCCATACGCTCGGAAGGTGGGTCGTGTGTTCCTGCGATTGTCGAGGTTCAAGGCTTCAGCAGCTCAGGAGGGTCTCCCCTGCACAGGTCTTTGTGGAAGAATTGGGTGCTGCAGAGCTGGGACCACAGAGCTCGATTTCAGGTTGACATGCACACGAGGTGGTCATAGTTCTCTCGCGGGCGATCGGTCTCAGCAGTTGGTTCAGACAGTGCTCCCGTTCAGACACCAGGGTCGCACCAGATGACGGTAACAGAGCGAGATCACAGATGATTGCGCATCGTTCATCATGCTGCGTGTCGGGAACTGAATTTGCTCCTTCTGCTGACATTCTC